TTCCACCACCCCAGTACTGACTGGGAAGACTCACTAGCAAATGAAGGTCAGTTTGCACTGTGGGATTTCATCGTGTGTGTGTTATGTTTGTAAAACCATGCAAATCCACAGAGGGCTGATAGCAACCAGTGGTGTCATCCTCCTTGCATGAGCCGCTCTGATCTAATCCAGCACAACAGCGAGCCAGCCCTCAATGTATTCATGGTGTTGGAGGACTGAACATGCACTAAGCCCAGGGCAAGACAGATGGAAGGGAAGGAGACTTTCCCTTGCATCCCAGGACCCCAAAGGGGATTGCTGGGCACTATGAAATCCAGATGACAGCTATGAGTTCTGGACAAGGTATGTGGGATCTCCTGGGAGGGCTGCTCTCAGGCAGGTTTGGGGAAGGACCATCAGTACGGTAGAGGCGTTTACTGGGGCAGCTCTGTTACGGTTTATATGCTCCCCTCCAGATCAGGCAGGGTGCAGGGTTTTTGTCCAGTGAGATGAGCCCATGTGAGTACATGTTTTAGTGCAACACAGTCAGCTAATTTAGTGTAGCACTGACACTCCTGCATGCCTCAAGCACTCTTGAATGCCTCAACCCTGTTGCAAATGGGACCACTGGAGAGGAGACACCTGTGAGCCACAATGTCTTGCACTCCTGAAACAAACCTAAGGTACACAGGTGCAGGCATACCCAAAGCATGCACTTGGAGGAAAGGCAGTCCTCCGCACACTCTGCAGCTATTTCAACAGTAAATGGGGAAGGAGAGCTGTATACAAGGGCTTGTTCCTTAGGTGATCCTGAGCACTTGGCTGTAAAATTACAACATGAGAACATAGTCTAACAAGGTTTAGCAGTGACCATCTGCATTAGCCACCTGGCCCCATTCATGCATCATTGTTGGTCTATGAATATTTGGGAAATACTAGGAATATTTCTGCCAAACTCCCTTTCCCATCATTTTTTCATTCCAGGACAACTGTGTGTAGCAACTTCTTTCTGACAGATGTGGGTAAGTTGAAAGTTTCTGGATATCAGGCAGTTGCCTCTTAGCAAGCACCGACATCTGTCCTGCAGATTTAATTTGACCCAGCCTATTAGGATTGTTCAGTGATGGCCACTTCTCCCAGCTGAACACACAGGAATAGTCTGGTGCCCACCTCAGGTTTAAATTCCAGTTCTCCAGGTGTCTGTCACAGCTTGTAGAGGGTACTGGTACTCATTGTACAAGAGGGTGCTTGTACTCATTGTACAAGATTTGGCAGGCCGGATTTAGGAAGAATTATGTAAAAGATGTCCAACTAACCTAAAGGGGTAATGAACCACTCTTGTTGCTTTGTTGGAGATGTTGGCTGGTTATTCTTCTCGTAGTAGCAAATATTGTAAAAGCAAGCACCAAACGTTCTGGAGTCAACATCTTGTCACGGAAATAGTAAGTGTTGATCACTCCCTAAGACTGTGCATGAATCAGGGGTGTAAAAGGATTCACACCTAATACATGCAAAAACTGGAGGGAAGGGGGACATATCCCAAAGCCCCAGGTTGAACAGCACCATGAGAAGCAGTGTGGTTCCTCCTAGAACATCTGAAGCCCAACAGTTGGTTGGATCAGAAAGGCAGAGTGGCAGGGTACTCTCCAGGCATTTTGCTCAATGTTTCCAGACCACATGGAGTCACCTTCACACTTCAGTACCCCAGGCACAGCTGCATTTCCTTGGTGAAGGAAATGGTCTCCTTGGAGGAGAGTCAGACCTCCTTGTCCAACAAAATATCCTTTGAGATGCCTGCATAAGAAGAACCAAGGGTCTGTTAAAGCAATGGGAAGGGCCACATTTCACTCTTACTCCTGCACATTAGGAGTGACTTTATGTAAGTGCCACTGAGGTAAGCAAGAGCAGAAACAGATGTGGAGCATAGCTACAAACAGGATGTGAAAATAAACTCATTACTCCATCTGCCCACCGTAAACAGCGTGAAATTAGCAGCAAGTGAGGAATAAAAATCCAGACAAATGGCCTTTTAAAGAGAGCAGCGGGAGCTGGAAGGTCTGCTGTTAGAAAAGCAGAGGCACGGAAAGCCCAAGCCATGCACAACCCGCCGCATATCCCGAGACCCCTGGTCAGTCAGGGGCAGAGGTGGAGAAAAATCCCATGGTGCAGAGTCCACAAGATGTGATTTCTGAAGGTAAAAACAGAAAGGCCACTCCATCTTTGGGAGAGAAGACCTGATTTTGCCTTTGTCACTGACTGTTAGGAGACACTGTCTATTTTATAAGTCACAGAGATTTTTTTTTTCCCCCTAAGAGGTTCTCTCTTAATGTTGCATAAAATTACTCTCTCAGGGGTAGTGTGAGGAGGAAAACGTGGTGTTGCGTTGTCTTAGTTGCAAAGACATCGCTAAAAATAAAAGCCCCTGAATGATTTGGTTTTTAAGTGACATGATTATGGAACGGGTCATTCGTGACGCTCCACTTCAAGTTGCTTCAAGTACCTCTGTCATAAAGCCTGAATGGGGGTGTTTTATGCTTTGGACTTGGGCTGTAGATATTCACCCCTGGCCTTTGTTCTATGAAGCAAGTCTCAGCTTGAGGATATATTTACTTAAACGTTTGCAGGAAAATTTCTCAAATGGTCAATCTGCTTGATTTATTTAAAGTGGGATCCCAAAGTGTTTTACAGCTTTTACAGGCTGGCTGTGTTTATAACCATCCTGGGGAGTATCTTCTGCAATTCATGTAGCGGAGAGAGGGAAGAAGGGTCATAATTTCTATTTTAACCTACTTTTCTAGCAGCTGACATGACGCTGACAAAGTCATCTCTTCTAGAATAAAACCTGCCATGCTTTATCCTTGCCCAGAGGAGAACCTTTGGAGAAAGCCACAACAAAATAAGTCAAGCACTTTTTTTTTTCCCCCTTATGGATTCTGCTCAGATATGTGCATGGAAAATTCAATGGTGTCTGAAAGCAGAGACTATGAGCAGCTCCGGCTCATTTTATGGTTCTCAATGAAATTGTAGACCAAATGATATTTCAAGGAAACTGGTTCCTTGTGTTAGGAGTTCTTAAAGATATGACAGCCCAAGGCAGAGTTTCCTACATGTTGGAAATAATTTCTCTCTCCCCATTTGGCAGATCCAAACAAGCCTTAAGTGCTAAATAAACCAGGTCTATGAATAAATCGGGGTAGAAGAACTCGAATTTGAGGTATTGTGAGATTTGAAATAACTGAAACTTGGCGTTGGCCATGAGGCACTTCGAAATAGTCTGGAGTTTGATGAGAGGTTTTGCATTTGAGATGCCATTGGGATATTTCAGGAGGAAACCTCCTGGTGGGTTCACCCAAAGTTTGTCATAAACATAATTGAAGTATCTGAACTCCAGCTGCTACCTTCTACTCTAATCAAGAGCAACAGAAGCAGCTCCTTCTTAGCAAACATCCTGTTACTGCTGAGGGAGGAGACATGGATATTCTGGGCTCAAGCACTGAACTGGGAGGGTAGCAGAGGCCGGTGCAGAAATTCAGGGCAGGAGAGGTAGCATGTGGAAGAAGGAAAAAGGGACTTTATGGAGAGATCAATAGACTCTTGGAGAGAGGGGAGATCTCATGAAGCCCTTGGAGATAGAAATCAGGACTTCACATTTTTCTCAGGAGAGAGGATTTTCTAATATTGTCTGAGTTGGGTTTCGCCAGGAACAGACCCTGGAGGAGCTCAAAAACCAGAAGTTGCCTCCACCTTATCTATCCCGTGAAAGGTAAGGTATCCTTACCCTTACAGTTCCTATCCAAAGTGCAGACAAGTTATGTTAGAGACAAGGACTTCCTTTGGGAAGTATTTGAGAAGTCCTCCTTCAAGGTCATGACAGCAGTTTCTGTTTTTATAGTATAGCAGGATCCAAAATGATGTTATAGGCACAGAAACTGATTCTCCCCTTCCATGAACCAGGTTTCCCTCTTCATCGCTCCCCCAAGCCATCGTGCAGTTATGCCTGACCTCTGTCAACATGCTCCAGAGCATCACACCAACGGGAAGGAGTGTGATTCACCTTGTCCTGACCCCTGTCTCCTCTCCATCACCTGGATGATGCTCCAGGCCACGGGAGCACAGCACCACTGAGCACTGCTGAACTAATTTAGTGGTGTACACGTAGTAAATAATGCCTTCCTCCCATGCTTTTGTTTATCCTCTCGGCATGGGGAACAGAGCACTTTGTATTTTTACAATTAACTCTGAGGAGAATTTACAGAAGGTTGGAAAAAGCCAAAACAAAATGGTGGAAGTCCTAGGGAGGTGGTGACAGTGAACAAGGGTCAACTCCTGGGACACCTGTGGGCTGACTCCATGTCAAAACACCCCACACAGAGCCTTTCATTGCTTCAGGGAGGTGTAGGCAGACTTAAATTGTGTGCAAGGAGGAGAGCCTGGGGTCTCCATAGCATTGGGCTGCTGTTAACTTTGGAGGGCAGAAATGAGGTGGAGAACTGGGGGAGCAAAGAGTTTGGAAAGATTTTGTGCTCCAAGCAGGAAAAAGCAAGCACCAGGAACTGGTCAAGTTTCTGCCACATATAATCCTGCTTCCAGGCTGACCCTGTCCATGGTCACTCTCTCAAATCAGGAGGAACCTGGTCTCCAGGAGAGAGGTGACCTCTCCTTCTGGCTTCTCAGGTGGATGCAACATGCATCTCACTGCTGCTGGTGGCTCAGCAGTAGGAGAGAGAGGGTTGGGTTGAGGTGTTGAATCTCAGGTTGCGTCTTGTTTCCTTAACATCCCTCCAACTTCCCCCAGTCATGTGGGCATTTAAACCCTCCAGTTGACCTGTTGCAGAGGGATCTGCCCACTTCAAGATTTCAGAGGCAGAGTCGTTGCCTGTGGAGTGGGTGGTGATGAGAGGGATGTCTATCTCTGCATGTGAAGATGGACATCCCAGCCTTGTCCAGCTCATGAGAGACACAATTAATTTCCCACCTGGGTTTGCTCCATCACCCTCACACCACTTCTCCGGTTTTCTTGCAGAAGGTATGGCGGAAGCTGTCAGCTCGAGCAGGGACTGCCTTCAAGCAGGTGAATCCTGTACCAATGACCCCATCTGCAGCGCCAAATTCAGGACCCTCCGGCAATGCATCGCAGGCAACGGAGCCAACAAGCTGGGCCCCGACGCCAAGAACCAGTGCCGGAGCACCGTGACAGCCCTGCTCTCCAGCCAGCTGTATGGCTGCAAGTGCAAGCGAGGCATGAAAAAGGAGAAGCACTGCTTGAACGTCTACTGGAGCATCCACCACACGTTGATGGAAGGTTGGTTGAGCAGAGTACTCATTTCTGATGATCTTCCTAAAAGGGAATTACTGCTGGGGCTTTCTGCAGAGCTCCTCAGCACCGAAGTGGCTGTAAAAAAGGTCATTCCTGTAGTATTCCATCCCCTCTCAAGACCTACTTGCCCCCACGGTAATGGCATGTTGGGGAAAGCAATCCTGAAAACCTGAGACATCTCCTTCTTTTTTTTAAACATGGCCTCTTTTTTATGACATTCCCAGTATAACTTGAGATCTCTTGCTGGGCAAATGCATGGTATGTTTTGCATTTAAGTATGCCAGCCAAGACCATGAAAGCCATGTATTTTACAGAAACACTATACAAATCATGGGCATAGAGGAAAAGACTGTATGAACTTAGAAAAAAATATCTCTCTTGGAGGCTCTCAAATACACCACTGTCTTTGGTTTAGTGAAAATCCGGGGCTGGTGACACCAAGTTGGAGTAATTTAAAGTGTTCCCAGAGCCAGTATTTCGTAAGTTTGGATTTTGATGTTTTTTAAAAGTCATCAAAGTGCACCTCAGCGGCCATAAGTCTTCCTTGTCAGGCTGGTGAGTATTTTATGCACCATGAAAATTAAAATGGGGAATAAAACAGAACCTTCCAGCCATGGGCTGCGAAATAGATTAATAAAACACTGCTGGCTGAAAGCTGAAAGGAAAGGTTCAGGGGTGATAACACAGGGCGAAAGGCCAAGCAAAACAAAGAGGATGGAGACTATAATGCATAGGCTTGCCGGAAAGGGAACTGCTTGGTGAAGTTCCCGGAAAGCTTTCGGGTGCCCCAGCTTGAAGGGTGCAGAACATGGTGGTATGAACTGCTTGGGGAAATAAGACACCTCAGCACCCTCCAGGATCCAATCTTTACCATAATTACTTGCCAGGTGAACTTGTTTACGTTGAAGTGAAGCCTGGGGAAAGGTGGCAATCCGGCTTCTCCATTCATCTTAACAGGCTGCGTTGCAACCCCTTCCCCACTGACCTTCACGCCCTGGAGCTTTGGTCACAGCCCATCTGTGATGAGGCTGTACAGGACAGCGGTGTCAGAAGGACTCCCAACTCCAGGACTGCTGCTGGGAGAGCAGGGAGAGGATGGCAGGGAGTGCTGGGTGCAGGCAGGGGCCAGGCGTGGGTCTCCAGATGCAGAGTAGGAGACAGGTGCTGGATGGCCAGGTTGGATGCTTCCTGCCCAGCAGCTTGGGACCTCCATCTTGGGGATGACTGTGAGAGGACTGCTGTTGGAGACTGCCAAGACTCCGCTCTACTTCTCCTCTGGTGTCTTGTCCTGAGCCCCACATTTTTTCAAGCACTGAGTTCACTTGCAGTGCAGATTTACGCTCCCAAACCTTTGATTTCCCTGCCTTAATTTCCCTGGGGAAATATATTTCATAATAGTCACGTGTTCCAGAGTCCTTACACAGGTTTACTGGGCTGAGAAAGGAAGTCAATCCACACGCTCCGTGTAGGGCTTCGTCTCTCAGTCATACGTACCCAGGAGGCTGTAAAGAGCTTCCTAGAAGCTCTCTTATAAAATCAATTGTGGAAGTGTGTGCTCAGGGAATTTACAAAGCATACTATTTACTCAGCTTCTCTTGAGCGCGTCTGTGTTTAGCCACCTTCCCGTTTGGAGACACAATAACATGATGACAACCCGATAACAATTCTCTGATAAGGTGCTATATCATCAGGACATAAAACTGCTACACTGAACATAGAAATGGGCCCCTCTCCACTCAGTAATGATGCAAGATATTTCAATGAAGGTGTAAAGCTGCCTTGTAATGTACCTGCCGTAATTGCACAGGGCTGTGTACCCTGGGAGCCATTTCTTCCTGACCGCAGCTGGTGATCAGCATATGCCCAGAGCATGAGGTTTGATAGTCCTTTTATCCCAGCCAGTACATCTGCTGCTGTTGTCCACATCCATCTAAATGTCTAATAAAAAAAAATGATACAGAGCTGTTTGCTTCAATAATATTCTGTGGTATCCATCAGGATGACGGGGCATTACTGACCATTGAGTGGATGAAAGGGAAGCACCGATTGAATAAAATTAGCTGCCCAGCAACTTAAAAATGACAAGGGGAAGTTTCTGCAGGAGCTGCGGGTCATTAGCTCTATGCCAAGTAAGAAAGGGCTGTTGGCAAGGAGAAGGGGAGAGGTGTTAATAAATATGAAGGTGCATGTGTTTTCACGCACACAGCCCCGTGCAGAACCCTGGCTGTGACCTAGAAACAGGTGAGGACCATTGACCCAGGGAAGGACCTATAGGAAATAGCAAGAATGGTGATGGAAACCCCAGGTATGTAGCAAGTCAGTGCTTTGAACTCTGCTCATGAACAAGAGTCTGTGCTACAGTCTGGTGTCTTGAGTGTCAATCCCTGTAAAGGGACCTAAGACCTGAGTTATAGAGAGTTGCAACTCAACAGTTCCCTGAGAGGCTGTCCTACTCCGAAGCTGTGATATATTTTTAAAAGCCAGTTACATCTTATTCCCTTCTCTAAGGATATGGCCATATATCAATTCCTGTGACTCTGACTATCCATTTACTTATGGCCTTTAGAGCACACGTCTCCTTGGACCCACCAAGCAAACCTGCACTGCATCTGTTGAACCTCATAAGACTCAAACGTCCCTCAGGAGCCTCAGTTGCCTTCTCACTAACATCTCTTTTCAATCCAGGCATGAATGTACTGGAGAGTTCCCCTTACGAGCCGTTCATCAGAGGCTTTGATTACGTCCGGCTGGCATCCATCACTGCAGGTAGGTGGGTGGGAAGATGCTCTTACATTGACTGGTTCAAACAGGGAGGAACTGGTTGTAGGATCAAGCGTTATGGACAAGGCAGTCCTTTGTGGTCTCTTGTGGTCTCTTCACAAAGCATTGCTGAGAGCTTGCAATCATTTTTCCAAGGAGCTCCTTATGCTTCCTGTGCTAAACTGTTGATAGAAGAACATGTGCTAAGAAGAAGCACTTGTGATTTTTGTTCTTTGGCTTTTTCATGTCCATACTGTGAAGGGCTGGGACTGAGGGACATAGTAGGAAGGACTCTTCCTATGAGCCATCACAGGTGGGCTGATTCCCCATAGCAGGTGGATGACCTGTGCCATGCAGACACCCACCCATGGATATCGTTAGGTATGAGAATGTACTTCCACATCAGTCATAGGGTCAAACTCTGCAGGCAAAAAGGTCAGTAACCCAACCTACTGATTGATCCTAGCCACAGCCTTTAACCCCATGCCCTGAGGGCAACCTCAGGACCCAGACCCATGTTCTGCTCTGCGTCATGTAATCCACTCAATAACACGAGCAGAGCTTCCTGACACCTTTTAACCCCCGCGAGGGCATGAACCCCCAGCTCAGCAGTTAAAGGGTCAGCGTGGTAGCTATTAAGCCATCCATCACAGCTGCCACCACAACCAGCATTCAGCTCTGCTTATGTGCCACAGCTGCGGGGAAGCTTGTACTCCTCATGTGTCTCTGGCTGACGTGCCGAAACAGCAGTCCTGTTGCAGCTCTTCCCAAACGTACTCCGGACTCCAGGGTGGCTGGAGTACTCCAAGCAAGTAAGGAGCAGCAGGTCCCCGCAGCCAACGGCTGTCTGCAGTCCCCACGATGGCGAGGCATTTGTTAGGTGAAAGTGTCCAGGAGCAAGTTAACCCATCAGCCTTCGACAAGCTGAGCAGCAAGGGGAAGGGGAGTGCTCCCTGACCTCGCATCTTCTTATTGACTCCACTTGACTGGTTTGAGCATGGAAAGTGAAGCATGCACAAAGGCGTTTGCCACATCATGGCCTTTTTAACTAGATTTTTTCCCCTTTAGCTGAAAGTCCTAGAGGGCTTTTCAGAGCACGGCAAAATCTAGGGATGGGGATTTTTATGCGTGGTTAACACATTGCCAGGTTTTTAAAGCGGACTGAAACTGGTTGGGCAGCAAAGCAAAGGTGCCCAGAGCAGCAAGGTTATGTCCCAAAGGACTCAGCATCCATCTAGGGACATGAAGTTTCTTGGTTTAACCTTTTTTTCCCTATTTACTCATCAACACTCTCTATAACATAACTTATGACCTGCGGCACCGTGTCTGTCCAGTGCCCAGGATCATA